CTTTTTTATATTGATTTTGTATAAAAAAAGTGAATCGCAATACTGCAACTCACTTTTATTATATAAAATCAATATAAAAAAGTGAATCGCAATACTGCAACTCACTTTTATTATATAGTAGAATCAATAGTTTCAGGTCAACAGGTCAATCAGGTCAGGTCAATCTTCATACCTGACCTGAATTTTTTTTAAAAATCTCATACCTGACCTGAATTTCAGGTCAGGTCAGGTCAGGTTACCTGAATTTGGCTGACCTGTTCGGAGCTCTAATTATTTATTATTATTTCATTTTTTTATTGTTATTTTCATATATTTATATATATATATTTTTTTAGGTATTAATATAAAAGTATAAAATAAATAAAATAGATAATAGTAATAAAATTCCAGTTCTTATGTATGAAATGTAACAAATGTATTACAATAGTATTTTATTTAATAAATTGGACTTAACAATAAAAATATTTGATCTACATTTATAATGTAAATTTGATAGTAAAGATATAGTATAAGCAAACCAAATTGCTAGTTATATTGTCTTTATTTTTACATCAAATTTGTAATTTAAAAAATGAAGAAGAATAAAAAAGAAATATTATATATAATTATATTACTTTTAATTAATAATTTTTTATAAAAAAAATTTTTAAAAGAATAAAAAATTAATTTTAGCATAAGTAAAAGTAAAATTACACATTAATAAATATTTACAAATATACTTTTGTGTAAAAAGTTTAGGATCACTTTATTTTTTATTATATTAAATAAAATTTTATTTCTATTTATATGAGTTTTTTTTTTAAAAAAAAATTTTTATTAGTAATTTTTTGAATAAATATAAAAAATTTATATTGACATTTATAAATTATGCAATACAAGGTTTTTTTTTCAATGGTAAATTTATAACTTTTCAATCAGACAAAAATAAATATAAAATTTAAATAATTAGTTTTAAATAAAGAGAATTACTAAACTTAACCTAAGGGAATTTCCCTCCTCTCTTCCTTTATTTCAATTTTTAACTAAAATATTGACTTGCATAGTAATCTAAGAATAAGATTATATGTAAATTTATGAGAAGAAAAGGTTTTATTAAGTTAAAAAAGGTAGTTGTTCAGATGGTTTTTGAGAAAAATACATAATTTTGATTTTTATAGTTAAATTGTATTTTTCATGATAAAAATTCTTTTTAAAACCAAGAATTGCCAAATTTTTATGCAATTAATATCCAATTATATTTATTTTATATATTTCATAAAAAAAGTTTATTTTTTTAAATTTTTAGGGGGGGGGAGAAATTATCCTCCCAGTTAAAATTAGCAATACTCTTAAATAAAATTATATTTCAAATTAAATCAGTATTTATTGAAAAATTAACTATTAAAGATTGATAATTTAGATGTAAAACCTAATAAAGTAATATTTTTATATATAAATGCCAATATTTAATAATTGATTTTTCATTACTACTGATTTGATTTTCATAAAATTTGGAATATAACTTTATTATTAGCTAAACTATTAAAATTTTTTTAATTAAAAAGTTAAAAATTTACTATTAAAAAAAAACCTTATATATATTTTTTTTTTTAAATGTTGAATCATGTATCATTTTATTAGAATATATTTGGATTACATAATAATCACAACTATTCTGTAAATGATACTCCCAGTTCCTGGCCAGTCTGATCAAACATTAACTATTATATCACTAATAAATTAAGAATAAAATTAAATAGTAAAAGTAAACCAAAATAAAAAAAAAAAAACTTTATATTATATACAAATATGATAATTTTTTATGTTTATTTAAAAATTATAATATAAAGAAGTTTTTTAATTATATAAATAAGAACAAATTTTATTTAATGTAATCAAAAATAGGGTGGTCCTAAACTTTTTACGTAGAAGTGTATAAATAAAATATGTTATTTTAAAAAAATAATATATTATTAAACATATAAAATTTTAAAAGTTTTTTTTTAACTACTTTTAGATTAATATCTTTATATATACAATTTTAATAAGAAAATTTCTAAGTTTACACGGGGTGTTTGTACACGGGTCATATAAATATAATTTTTAATAGATTAATTTTTTGTTTTTTAATTTGAAATTGAATGCTACCGACATTATACTCTTTTACTTTTTATTCTTATTATATTACAGATAAATATATGTATTTTCACCTGCTCTGCAAGTTTACTTAAGGCATTAAAGGAGGTTTTGAATGCCGTTTTTAATCTACTAATATGACCCGTGTTTAAACACCCCGTGTACAAATAGAAATTGCCTTTTAATAAATAGATAAAATTAAAAATTAATAAAAAAAAATCTTTAAAAGTTAAAATAAAATTGTTTAGTAGGTCTAAGTATTTTTTTATAATATTACTAATTTCATTTTACTTTGGCTAAAATACTTAAATTTTGCTTTAAAATTACACTAAAATTTTTATATAAAATTTGTAAAAAAAATACTATTAAATTCTTAAAGATAATTTTTCAATCTATAATACAAATATAATAACAGTCAGCTTTTAATTGTATTGTTTTTATTCAGATTATGATCACAATTATCTTTATTATAAAAATATATAAAAAAATATAAAATAAAAATCCTTATATTGATAGTAAAAATTATAGTAAAAATACAATTAATTATATTATTAATTTATATTTATGAAACTGAAAATTTATTATAAATTGTCAATATTTGCTATTTATAACCAATAAAATAAATTGTTGATTCTTCATATATTTGTCTATATATCTATATTTCTTTTATTCTTTGAAAATGAATTTATTTTTAATATTAGAACTACAAGATTCTTCACAAAATTCTTTATAAGACTTTTCTTAAAAAAGTAAGAGACTTCTTATTTTTCTTCATAGAATGATAATGTTATGAATCTATGTCAACCAATCCCTGTAAAATTTATATTATAACTTATAAAGTAATAGTTAGAGTTTAAAAAAATTGATTTAATTGATATCAGTTCTGAACTTTGTAAAAAAGAAATTCTTAAAAATATTAATCCAAATAGTTTTAAATTCTTTAGATATAGTAATTATATTACCTATTTTTTTAAATACCTTTATTGCTTATTAGTACTTTGAATATAATAGACTAAGTTCCTCTTATTATATCATATTATTTATTATCTAATGATGAGGGTAAAGATTTTTTAAGGATTTTGTTATATTTACTATATATGTCATATTTATGTTTTTATTGTTTGCTGCAATTTATTCACATTCTTGTATAAGAAAAGTTTTTATATAATAGTAATTTTTGGTACTATATAATAGACCTAAAATAAAATAAAAAATTTTGAGTTTAGACAACTTCTAATATTTTTTTGTGTATAATTAAAATAAAAAGAAGAGCAAAAAGAAATAAATAAAGAATAAGTTTACATAATAAAATAGTAAAAAAAATTCAATTTCTAAAAGATAGTAATGAATATACAATTAGTCTTTTTATTCAAATTAAAGGTATAAATTATTGAATTATTATATATTAATATAGCAGTTATATAAGTTCTTATTATTATTTTTTTTATAAATAAGAAAGCATATAGTGATTGGAAAATAAGTAAAGTTCTCAAGAAATTTTTGCACCAAGATGGAATTTCTATAGGCAATATTCTTACATTTAAAATAGGTATAGTTTTTTATTTAAAAAATGTAATTTGGTACTTTAGTTTCTTATATGATTTTTCAGAACCTCAGAAAATATATAAATAGATAAGATCTAGAATTTGCCAAAAAAATTGTATAAATCTTTCCTTTTTAAATAATACTGGTTAAAAATTTAATTTCCTAATTTAAAAACTTACTAGTATTATTATAGTTCTGACCCTAAAGAAATGTTTAGAGCTCATAGTAAAATTTTTTTGACTGGACCTTACCTATTTATATATTTTTCAGGATCCTGATTTTTCTATAAAAGATAATTTTAAAAAACCTAATCCTAAAATTACTTAAAATGAATTCAAATTATTTGTTGATGAGTTTAAAAAAAAGAAATGTAATTTTAAATATATTGTTTATAATAAATCAATTTGGTAAAAGTTTATTTTTGCATTTATGTCTATAGCTATAAAACATATTTAACCAATAGAAGAAAATCTTCAAAAGAATGGTTTGACTATGATCTTACTGAGTACTGACTTTGCTGCTTATATCAAAAGTAGAAGATTTTGAGAAAAAAGCTGCTTAGAATATTGTGCAAATACATAATGCTATAGAAATTAAAAGATTATTATACATTATTTACGTACTATTATTCCATTTTTTTTATTTTTATTTTTATTTTTTTAAATTTTAAAGTTTATTAATTATGACATTTGGCTCTATATAATATAGGTGTTACATATCGCAAAAAATACAGAAAATAGGTCAACCACCCCCAACGTGCAATGAGAATGCATTAATAAATCTATTCCATTTTTTATTGCTATTTCATGTATTTATATATATATATATATTAAATATTAATACAAAAGCATAAGATAGATTAAATAGATAATAGTGATGGAGTTTGTATGGAATTGTAACAAATGCATTACAATGGTATTTTATTCAATGGGCTGGCTCTCTAGAAGACTCAACAATAGAAGTATTTGGTTCACATCAATGTGATTTGATAGTGAAGATATGGTACAAGCAAAACAAATTGCTGGCTATATTGTCTCTATTCTCCAACATCAAGTTCATGGTTTGAAAAATAAAGAAGAACACCTTCAAATTAAAAAGAGTCACTGCACATAATTATATTACCTTTGATTAATTTTGATTAATGATTTTCTTATAAAAAAAATATTTAAAAGAATGAAGAAAAATTAAGCTAAAGCAGAAATGCACATTAATAAATATTTACAATACTATATTATAATGTTGTATATAATTAAAAATAAAGTATATAGTAGACTGCACTTAATCAAAAGGATCAGCAAGCAAAAAAAGAAAGTTAGCGTTGTAATGCACATGTGATGATACATACTTGGCTGGCGCGTGATTTTTCAATTCATGAATTTTTTCGCAAAGTGTATGACTCTGAAAAACCAAAGAAGGTCCGTCTTAGAAAACTAGGAGGCTAGGACATAAACTAGGACGGGATATGATATAGGAGAAAAGCTTTTCTTTCCGATTCAACTTATTCTTTTACGTAACGTCCTAAAATCCTAATGCCCTCGTCCTAATGTCCCATGTTTCTCCCCATGATATCATATGGTATGTGTTACGTATTGTATCAGTTTTTGGGAATGATTCCCCCGTTGCATAAGGATTGCAGACAACCTAGAAATTTCGCGTTTATGAAAATTTTTAATCAAAACCTACCTAACTTTCATAACTATTATTAATTTATTAATTTTCTATTATTTTCTTAATAAATATAGATCACGTATATCCACGTATCATAATTATGTAATCATTTACTTGTATGCATTTTACAATTACTTAACATGGAAAAAATACTTAAAAAATTATCACAAAGATGTTATATCTAATAAAAAAATTCGGTATTTTATTGTATTTACAAGAAAAAATAATTTCAGCGAGATTGATCAAAATTTTTATTCAGAAATCGTTTGCCAATTGTACCACCATTAAAAGAGAGAGATAGAGAAAAAAAAAAAAATTCGATAATGATTATTAGCCAAAAATCGAAAGGGGGGAAAGAATTATAAAAATATTAATTAAATACAGAAAAAAAAAAAAACTTTTCATAAATAAAATAAATAAAATAAATAATCATTTTCAAAATAATTACTATTACGAATTAATAAAAAATTTCACTATAATTTATTATAAAGATCTTTTTTTAATAAAATTTTTTTTTTGGTCCTCAATATATCAAATATATCCTAAAAATTTTTTTTCTTTTTTGGTTTTTTTTTGACATAATGTCAAACCTTAGTAATTGAGGACACTGGTATACTTTTGTTAAAAAAAAAATTCTGTTTTTTTTTGAACAATTGGTAAAATTTATCAGCTTTCTTACGTTTCTTGATGTGAGATAAAAATCTGAAAGCATCGGAATTAAGGAATTAAGGATGAAAAAATAATAAAGTTGAAGCGGAAAAAATGAATAATGTATATAAAAAGAGATACGATTTATATAAGGAAAGAAAAAGAAAGGATAGGGTAGGTTATTTGGATAATCAATAGAATCTAAGCTGAAAGTACAAAAAAAGGACCAACACTATGCTAATCATGAAANTTTTTTAAAATTTTTTTTTTTTTTTTTTTGTGTTTCTGATAAAATTTATCAGCTTTCTTACGTTTCTTGATGTGAGATAAAAATCTGAAAGCATCGGAATTAAGGAATTAAGGATGAAAAAATAATAAAGTTGAAGCGGAAAAAATGAATAATGTATATAAAAAGAGATACGATTTATATAAGGAAAGAAAAAGAAAGGATAGGGTAGGTTATTTGGATAATCAATAGAATCTAAGCTGAAAGTACAAAAAAAGGACCAACACTATGCTAATCATGAAAAGGATGATGTGAATTATGCGTGAACTCGTTATAATTCTGATACTGTTTCTGATACTCCTTCTGCCACAATATCTATTTCGATCTCTGTCCTACCAACAGCCTGTAATTTTACGATACCTCGGATTTCACCTATTTCCTTGGGTTGAAATCGTACTGGAAGTAGCACAAATGCATGTGGTTTAATTTGGACACTAGATAAGGGTATTGACAAGGCCGCAGATGATTCGTTGGTACAGTTGTTTAACTCTATCTTGCATTTTATTCTTATTAATTGACTAGAAGGGTTACGTATTTTTATTCCCACCGATCTTCTTTTCCCTACTCTAGTCGCTGGAATATTAACTTCAGTTTCAGAAACTTCAAAGTCTTTCGCCCTAGAACTAGTACTTCGTTTTATATCAGGTCTTACGGAAGTCGATGCATCAACTTTTCCTTCACCTTGTATGCGAACGCTAACACCCCCTAATCCACCAGCACCTTCCGCATTCATAGAATCCTCCAACATAAAATTTTGATGATATGTCCCAACGATCACCGGACGAAAACTTACCACTACCTTTTCAGTTTGACCAGGTCGAAGAAATCCACTTGTCTTCATGATCAAGAAGACTTCATCGTTTATCTTTTGAGCAGAATTATTACTAGATTCTGAACGACGAAGGAAAGGATTCGTCGCAGTTGTAAGATGCCACGTTACAGGTTTGTTTGTCGGATTCTGAATACGGAATACGCTATGATTTGTTTCTCGAATAGTGGTAGGAGAACAATTAATATGTCCTGGAACTCCGACATAAAGGAAATTTTTACGTTGAGGGAGTTGTTTAATGGATTTAGATTCATCAGGCGTTCGAGAACGAGCAATATCAGGTGTATTAGGTCGACTACGTAATGATGATGATGATGCTTTCTTTCTAACAACACGATTTCTATTACTACCTTCTGGACTACTTGAACGACTAGGTGGTTTACTTGAAGAACTTCTTCTAGGGACAGGAGCACTTAAATTTTTACCAGTTGAACTAGTTGTGGTAACAGCTGTTGATTTACCTTTAGAAGTTTTTGTTGATCTAGGTTTATCTTCTGGTCTTGTCTGTTTTTTAGCTTTAGCTCTTGCTCTAGCTGCTTTAATAAGATCATCCACAGTTCTACTAAAACTCTTACCAGACCTACTGATGAAATTTCCATTCTCATCCCTAGCATTCTTTGAAGATGATCTAATGGATTCTATTTCACCTTTCGTTTCCTTTTTAACTGGTACAATATCAATAACAACTTCTTTACGTTCACCATTCTCACAAAGTACCAATATTCTTGTTCTACTCATAAGTGGTTTATCTCCATTCTTTTCTGAACCTTTAAGCATACCAATTAATTTTTTAGAATCTTCTCGTTTTGAACCTACAGTAAGATGTTTATGCATTACCGATATCTTAACAACAGTTACACTCTGAGGTTTAATAGTGCCATAAGCTGGTGTAATATCAAATCGAAATGCTGGCCAAAGTATCTCATATTTAAGTGGTTTGTCAGTAATATTTGAGATAGTAAATGTAGTTTCAAATAATGGTTTAGCATTATGTTTAGCCAAAGAAGAACTACTGGGATTACTTCGTAATGTAAGTGAAGTAGTTGATGCATTTGGACTGTCCCTAATTACGGAAGGTCCACCAGCTACCGTTAAATGTTCTGGGGAAACTTTCATACCCTGAGGTTCCTCTAAGATAGGAGAATTTAATATACTATTTATTGATGTTGGAGTAGGAGGTTTCTTTTCAGAATCTGTTAAATCAACTTCTTCACTTGACCAAATACCAATTTCTTCATCCTCCTCTTCGTTAATAGTCTCTAAAGGTTGTTCTGGAATTGATACAGCAGGAGATTTTTTAGAATCTGAGATATCACTTACAGGGGATTGTAATGGACTAACAGGTTCTTTTAAAGGACTGGGTAAACTAAGACCTCTACTTAATATACTAGGGCTTTGACGTTGATGATATTTTCTTAATTGTCCTAATGTCTTTTTAGCCCATATATTGCCTACTTTACCTATATGATCTGATGGATTATCATCCGATTTAACTTGTTCTTCTTTGTGTTTTTCTCTTGCAGGACTAAAAGGTCTTTTTGGCCATCGCCATGAATTTGATTTAGGTGTTATAGGAGTCATTGGCACTGATGATATAGGTGTTATTGAAATAGAAGAAGGTGAAGGTGATACATCAGATTGATCTGAAGGAAGTATATATCGACCACTTGTATTATCAGAAGACATTTCTGTTTCTTCCTCTTCATCTTCTGTTTCTGAAATTGATATTGATAATGGAGTTCTAATATTCAAATGTGGTAAAGTTCTTCTAGACTGTATTGATAAAAGGCGACTAATTCTTCCACCAGAAGATCTTTTTAAAGGTTCTGATTTTGATTCTTCTATAGATTTTTCTTTTGAAGGGAAACAATCAATATTTAATGTCCGATTTTTTCGAGTTGGTCCATTTTTTGAGATATCAGGCAGTGGATTTATTTGTTCTTTTTGTTCTTCTAATTCTTCTTCTTCCTCACATATTTCACCTAATTTTGATGAAAATGATCCAGATGATAATCGTTTTTCATTACGACCTTTTGTTTTATCTTGTTTATCTATTACATCATCATCTTTTTCCTCTTCAGATATAGATTGCATATCTTGTAATAAACTAGTTTTTGGATTATTAAATGTTCTTTTACTAGAAGATAATATTGATTGACGTTTTCCAAATGATTGTGATTCATCATTATTTGATATTAGTTCCATATAACGAGAATTACTTGTTCGATTAAAAAATTTCACTGGTTTTGATAATATATCCTTTTCATCATTTTTTGATTCTAATATTTCTGCCTGTTTTTTTGCTTTTAGTTCCAACTCTTGTGATTCTTTCTGTGTTTTTTCTATTTTCTCTTCTTCCTCCTCCTCCTCCTCTTCCTCTTCCAAAATCTCATTCATTGAGTTTACATTTTGTTTTATAGGAATCTGTACACAAGAAGATTCGAAAACATTTTGGGAAGACAAATTTGAGGAAGGTAAAGGATTATCTCGACATGATGATGATTCCTGTTACAAAATAAAAAAAAAAAAGTGATGTAAGATATATAAATGCAAGAACACGTCATAGTATACATCCTTTTAAAAATACCTGTTGTTCAGAACTTTCTTCTACTAAATCAGATAAAGATTTAAGACGTGGACTTCCTAATTGCATACGACGTTGATGAGAGGCAGGCCAACCTTCCACACCCATTCTTCCCCGTTCTTTTGTAGAATCTATTGAAGGAGTAGGCCATCGTTCATTTGAATTTGAATAAAATCTTGGCTAATTTATAATAAATAAATGAATAAATCATAATAGATATTTATAAATTATTATTAAAAAATTTTTTTCTCTTGTTTTTATAATATAAAAATCTCAATAAAAAAAAAAAAAATTTTTTTTTAAATAATTACCCTTCCATTAGATGGTAAGCCACCACTTAAATCACCCATTGGACCACTTTTACGAGAAAAATAAGTACGAGGACTTGGATATCTATCTTCCCTATGTAATCCAGTTTTTGTATTTTTTAAAGGAGTTGATGATATATTTTGTGTTATAGATGGAGGTGAAGAAGGAATAGAGTTATAAATTATATCACCAAGTATCGATTTATCAGAATGAATGGAAATTGAATCCGAGAAAGTAGAAGATGATGATGTGGAATTCAGTATTGAAGAAGTAGGATAATCGGAAGAATTAAGGTTACTAGAGAGAATATGTGTTGTATTAATAGGAATAAGATTATTATTAGATGATATATTTGAAATATCCGAAGTTATTTGCTCGCCTTCTTCACCAACAAGGAAAGTTTCAACTTGATTTTCTGAAATATCTTGATCTTTTAATATTTTAGGTAAAGTGTCTATATTATTATTATATACACGACGATTTTTTATTGTCACACAATTAACTTTGTCAAACTTTTCCTCCAACGATACTGACAAATCACTAACTTCCAACCCATCAGACGATGAGCTACTGCTCAAAGCTGGTGAGGGTCTTAATATTTTAGTATCCAATTCTGAACTTTGTATTGTATTAGAAACTAATTCAGTTTTTCCAACGATCGTAGATAATTTGCGACCAGCAGTATGCGTAGGAAAGAGTGACGGAGGTTGGGTAAACGATTGTTGTGACAAATCTTCTAAAATGAAATCTTTAGAAGGAAGTTCATGTTCTATAAAACTTGAGTTAATATTGTTCTTTTGTTGAGTTTTCTTTGTGTCACTATTGTCCTTGTTACTTATTTTGGGTGAGAAAACTTTGTCATTCCCTTCTAACTTTATGGGTTCATAGCCGTCTTTTATTACTCGTTGAATATTTAAAGAGGGTGTTTGAGATTTGTCCTTCACAACTTTGTTAAATTTTGACAATAAAGAATTTAAAGTATCCGGAGAATCCATCTATTATATTAAACAGATCGAGTAATTGACAACAGTTCATTTATTTATATTATTAGTATCTCGGTAAGGGGAATAAAAATAAAAAAAAAAAAGGCTCCAGTAAAACTTGTTAGGAAAGGAAAAAACTGGTACGTGCATATTAATTGATGTCAATAAGTCTCATTGATTGTTGTGAAATTTAGAGTACAATCAAAGATAACATTCTTTTTTATGTATAATATAAATAAAGTGCATACAATAATACATTTAAGTGAGAATATCTACATAAATTGTAAATCATTATAATAATAATATAATAATATATAAATATATTTAAACATTTTAAACAAAGCCAAATAAATGCTAAATGGCGTTTTTTTTTTTTCAAATTATAAGAAAAAAAAAAACGGGTAATTGCGAATAACAAATCGTATATATTGTATTGTTACTTGAAATTTTCAGGGTTTTTTAAAAAAGTTTAATTAAACATGATTAAAACTGAGATGGTTAGTAACTGTTACCAATGATCCGAAAAAAGATTGCTGAAATTAATCAAAATTCAAAGGTTGGTTCACCGCATGAGATATATTAATTGTGACTTGTGTAATTTGATGTTTAAAAAGTTTTCGGAATAAATCCTATAATTAAAGAGAATTTTATTTGTTTGTTTTACTTTATGATGCGCGTATATGATTTATTATTATGGTTATTATGATCTATTCAGTTATTACACGTATTACACGTTGCCTAACCACGTTTATTATTTGTTTCATCATTTGAGCGTCGCGTGTATTTTTGTACTCAAAGATCAACAATGCAATTCCCGTTTTTTTTTTTTTTTTTGGGGGGAGGGAGAAAAAAAAAAACAATATTAAAAATATTTCCTCGGGTCGGACACATTATTTATATATATTATATTAAATCATTTTTAAATCGATCAACCCGGAGATGATCAACATTCTGCTTATCAAACTTTTTTTCCTATTTCCTGATAGGTAAAATCAAATAAAAAAAAAAACAATTATATCAATTATATAATATTAAATAAATTGAATAATATCAAAAAAGTTGGGAGAAATCAAATCATATTGTGGATTTATATCCTTGTTTATATCAGATTAACACTGCATATTGATAATTTAACATGCATTAGCAATCCATTTGTTGTTTTTCTTTCGTAGTAATAAAGTTAATAGGTCACTTATTACTTCATTTGGAAATTTCTTGATCTTTAAGCGTAAACCAATCATCATTCTCTAATATTTTCCTTTATTTGACGCAATTTTCCGAATTCTTTTTATAGTAATTCATTCAACTATAAATAACCTTCTTTTAAGAAAAATTATCCTAAAATAGATTTTTTAAGAAATTTTGTAAAAAAATTTTTCTTTATTATCTATTATAATAAAACAAAAAGGAAATCGAGCAAAAAAAAACTTAATTTTGTTTACTTTTACTCTTTGTGTGAAAATAATAAAAATTATATTTTTTTTGTATAACCTAAACTATAGATGATGTAATTTATATGTAATTGTTGGGTAATTTTATTTTAGCGCTAAAAAAAATATTTATCATTATTTTATTATTATAAAAATATTTTTAAATTTTTAATTTTTAGATTTAGTAATAAATATTACGGTCAATATAAGTCATTATATTAAATCAATCGACAAATTGTGTGTAAATAAAATAATTTAATCTTTTCTTTGCTCAAAAAAATTATTACAATTATATATTATTATTTATTACAATTATTATAATAATTCATTCTTACCTTATTAATACATTAATTTTTTTTGAAATTTTTGAAATTCCCTGATCCTCAAATATTTTTAATTAAGGACATTATTAAAAAAATTAAAAAAATGTATGACGTTTCCTTTCAAAATAAGAAAAAAAATAAGGTTAGTTGTAATAAATATTATTATTATTATTTATTATTATTATTATATATATATAATTTTCTTTTTATTAATTTATATACAATATTACAATATATACAATTAATTATTATATATGTTACAAATTTATCAATTTATCCTAAACAAATATTACTCTTACGTGTTTTCTTTGCTAAGTTGAGCATGCATCCTTTCAATACGATCATGAACCGTTTTAAGAGTTTGATTTGTTGTTGTTAATTTCTTTCTTGCTGAAATCAATTTTTGAATTGATGATTGAATTGGTGGTGGTTCGGCTGCTTCAACAAATAATTGAAGTTCTAAAAAAAAAAATAAAAATAATTACTATTAATTAAAATGTTTCCTTTATAATTAACTTCCCAACCTTTTTAACATACCCGCAAGTAATCTTTCAATTTCTTTACTTAATTCTTTTTGACTTGCTTTTACCGCGACAATTCTTGAATCCATTTCTTCAATTACTGGTGATAGTAGGGTCATTAACCCTTTAGAAAAATTTTCTTTATCTAATTTAACATCATTGTCGGGTATTTCGGTTATGTTGATGCTTTCAAAGTTAGAGGTATTTCCCTTTGTTTCCTCTTCTTGATCCATTTAAAAGTTTCAAGGTTTTTAGAAAGTTTAAAAAAAGTTAAGGTTGGATCATATATATCAATTATGGAATATTTAAGTTACACAGATGATCTATCTTATATAGATTTCACAAAAAAAAAAAAAAAATTTATTATTCGAAAAAAAAATATGGAGGAACCTTCATTTAAACTTCCTGAAATTATTGATAATGATAATGGTTGGGGTCCTTCACCTGTTATGTTACCGGAAAAATTTAGAGACATACCATATGCTCCATATAGTAAAGCTGATAAATTAGGTCGAATTGCTGATTGGTCTACTCCAGAACAAAGAGAAAAAGAATCTTCCGGAAGACAAAGAACAAATTACAGAAATTACCGAGGTATTATTTTATTCATAATTATACCGATTTTGTCAAATTTACACCAATTAACTTTTTCTTATACCAATAGATCAGTATACAGCCTTTGGTCATGGTGTATCAAATGCTTTTGCTTATGCTCATGCTGAAGACGAAGCTTCATTTTCAGTCGTTGATAATCGATCTACTGCTCAAAAGAAAGCCTCTTCATATAGAACCACCGGTGGTACAAAAGTATGTAATCCTTGATTAATTTCATTATTTATGATCATTTATGTTCTAACTTTTTTATATTCAATACAGGGTCGAACAAGTGGCGCAAGAGGTCAAACTAATCGCAACGTTAGAAATGGTCAATACCAAAGGCCCAACACACAAACTCGGAATACACCCGGGGGTAGAGCAGCTCAAAATGCGGTTCGGAAACGATACGGCTGGAAAGATTATGATAAGGTTGATAAAGTTGATTTTAATTGTTTGATTTAATTTGGTTATTTTTAGTTAACATAGTTTACTATATTATTATAGCCTCAACGTGCTAGAGATGCTTCAGTCAATGTGGGTCCGGATTGGAAAGTTCTTGAAGAAATTGAATTTAATTGGTTATCCAAGCTTAATTTAGATGTAGAGAATGTAGAAGACATGTACGTATCAAATTTTAATATCGTTGTTAACACTATATACGAGTAATTTTTTAATTTATTTATTACTTTTTTTTTTCATTAGATCTTTACATGGCTTTTTATATTATTATGACAAAAATTATGATCTTATTCGTACCAAATCAGAAAAACCATTAATCCCTNGTATCCGGAGAATCCATCTATTATATTAAACAGATCGAGTAATTGACAACAGTTCATTTATTTATATTATTAGTATCTCGGTAAGGGGAATAAAAAGGAAAAAAAAAAAGGCTCCAGTAAAACTTGTTAGGAAAGGAAAAAACTGGTACGTGCATATTAATTGATGTCAATAAGTCTCATTGATTGTTGTGAAATTTAGAGTACAATCAAAGATAACATTCTTTTTTATGTATAATATAAATAAAGTGCATACAATAATACATTTAAGTGAGAATATCTACATAAATTGTAAATCATTATAATAATAATATAATAATATATAAATATATTTAAACATTTTAAACAAAGCCAAATAAATGCTAAATGGCGTTTTTTTTTTTTCAAATTATAAGAAAAAAAAAAACGGGTAATTGCGAATAACAAATCGTATATATTGTATTGTTACTTGAAATTTTCAGGGTTTTTTAAAAAAGTTTAATTAAACATGATTAAAACTGAGATGGTTAGTAACTGTTACCAATGATCCGAAAAAAGATTGCTGAAATTAATCAAAATTCAAAGGTTGGTTCACCGCATGAGATATATTAATTGTGACTTGTGTAATTTGATGTTTAAAAAGTTTTCGGAATAAATCCTATAATTAAAGAGAATTTTATTTGTTTGTTTTACTTTATGATGCGCGTATATGATTTATTATTATGGTTATTATGATCTATTCAGTTATTACACGTATTACACGTTGCCTAACCACGTTTATTATTTGTTTCATCATTTGAGCGTCGCGTGTATTTTTGTACTCAAAGATCAACAATGCAATTCCCGTTTTTTTTTTTTTTTTTGGGGGGAGGGAGAAAAAAAAAAACAATATTAAAAATATTTCCTCGGGTCGGACACATTATTTATATATATTATATTAAATCATTTTTAAATCGATCAACCCGGAGATGATCAACATTCTGCTTATCAAACTTTTTTTCCTATTTCCTGATAGGTAAAATCAAATAAAAAAAAAAACAATTATATCAATTATATAATATTAAATAAATTGAATAATATCAAAAAAGTTGGGAGAAATCAAATCATATTGTGGATTTATATCCTTGTTTATATCAGATTAACACTGCATATTGATAATTTAACATGCATTAGCAATCCATTTGTTGTTTTTCTTTCGTAGTAATAAAGTTAATAGGTCACTTATTACTTCATTTGGAAATTTCTTGATCTTTAAGCGTAAACCAATCATCATTCTCTAATATTTTCCTTTATTTGACGCAATTTTCCGAATTCTTTTTATAGTAATTCATTCAACTATAAATAACCTTCTTTTAAGAAAAATTATCCTAAAATAGATTTTTTAAGAAATTTTGTAAAAAAATTTTTCTTTATTATCTATTATAATAAAACAAAAAGGAAATCGAGCAAAAAAAAACTTAATTTTGTTTACTTTTACTCTTTGTGTGAAAATAATAAAAATTATATTTTTTTTGTATAACCTAAACTATAGATGATGTAATTTATATGTAATTGTTGGGTAATTTTATTTTAGCGCTAAAAAAAATATTTATCATTATTTTATTATTATAAAAATATTTTTAAATTTTTAATTTTTAGATTTAGTAATAAATATTACGGTCAATATAAGTCATTATATTAAATCAATCGACAAATTGTGTGTAAATAAAATAATTTAATCTTTTCTTTGCTCAAAAAAATTATTACAATTATATATTATTATTTATTACAATTATTATAATAATTCATTCTTACCTTATTAATACATTAATTTTTTTTGAAATTTTTGAAATTCCCTGATCCTCAAATATTTTTAATTAAGGACATTATTAAAAAAATTAAAAAAATGTATGACGTTTCCTTTCAAAATAAGAAAAAAAATAAGGTTAGTTGTAATAAATATTATTATTATTATTTATTATTATTATTATATATATATAATTTTCTTTTTATTAATTTATATACAATATTACAATATATACAATTAATTATTATATATGTTACAAATTTATCAATTTATCCTAAACAAATATTACTCTTACGTGTTTTCTTTGCTAAGTTGAGCATGCATCCTTTCAATACGATCATGAACCGTTTTAAGAGTTTGATTTGTTGTTGTTAATTTCTTTCTTGCTGAAATCAATTTTTGAATTGATGATTGAATTGGTGGTGGTTCGGCTGCTTCAACAAATAATTGAAGTTCTAAAAAAAAAAATAAAAATAATTACTATTAATTAAAATGTTTCCTTTATAATTAACTTCCCAACCTTTTTAACATACCCGCAAGTAATCTTTCAATTTCTTTACTTAATTCTTTTTGACTTGCTTTTACCGCGACAATTCTTGAATCCATTTCTTCAATTACTGGTGATAGTAGGGTCATTAACCCTTTAGAAAAATTTTCTTTATCTAATTTAACATCATTGTCGGGTATTTCGGTTATGTTGATGCTTTCAAAGTTAGAGGTATTTCCCTTTGTTTCCTCTTCTTGATCCATTTAAAAGTTTCAAGGTTTTTAGAAAGTTTAAAAAAAGTTAAGGTTGGATCATATATATCAATTATGGAATATTTAAGTTACACAGATGATCTATCTTATATAGATTTCACAAAAAAAAAAAAAAAATTTATTATTCGAAAAAAAAATATGGAGGAACCTTCATTTAAACTTCCTGAAATTATTGATAATGATAATGGTTGGGGTCCTTCACCTGTTATGTTACCGGAAAAATTTAGAGACATACCATATGCTCCATATAGTAAAGCTGATAAATTAGGTCGAATTGCTGATTGGTCTACTCCAGAACAAAGAGAAAAAGAATCTTCCGGAAGACAAAGAACAAATTACAGAAATTACCGAGGTATTATTTTATTCATAATTATACCGATTTTGTCAAATTTACACCAATTAACTTTTTCTTATACCAATAGATCAGTATACAGCCTTTGGTCATGGTGTATCAAATGCTTTTGCTTATGCTCATGCTGAAGACGAAGCTTCATTTTCAGTCGTTGATAATCGATCTACTGCTCAAAAGAAAGCCTCTTCATATAGAACCACCGGTGGTACAAAAGTATGTAATCCTTGATTAATTTCATTATTTATGATCATTTATGTTCTAACTTTTTTATATTCAATACAGGGTCGAACAAGTGGCGCAAGAGGTCAAACTAATCGCAACGTTAGAAATGGTCAATACCAAAGGCCCAACACACAAACTCGGAATACACCCGGGGGTAGAGCAGCTCAAAATGCGGTTCGGAAACGATACGGCTGGAAAGATTATGATAAGGTTGATAAAGTTGATTTTAATTGTTTGATTTAATTTGGTTATTTTTAGTTAACATAGTTTACTATATTATTATAGCCTCAACGTGCTAGAGATGCTTCAGTCAATGTGGGTCCGGATTGGAAAGTTCTTGAAGAAATTGAATTTAATTGGTTATCCAAGCTTAATTTAGATGTAGAGAATGTAGAAGACATGTACGTATCAAATTTTAATATCGTTGTTAACACTATATACGAGTAATTTTTTAATTTATTTATTACTTTTTTTTTTCATTAGATCTTTACATGGCTTTTTATATTATTATGACAAAAATTATGATCTTATTCGTACCAAATCAGAAAAACCATTAATCCCTAACGATAAAGTTCGATATTTTGTATCTACATCTAAGGATCCTATTATCGATCAAGTAAATAAAATTAAATAAAATTAGAATTTTCTTTTCTTAAATTTACTTAATTTATCTAACCTTTTTCTTTTTTTTTTATGTTTAGCTTGCAAAAGATGATACAGCTACCGTTTTCGCTACTGATTCTGTTCTAAGTTTACTTATGTGTGCACCTAGATCTGTATATCCTTGGGATATTATTATTAACCGTGTAGAAAATAAGTTATTCTTTGATAAACGGGATACAGGAGTTTACGGTATGTTTCATCAATTATATTTATTATTTATTATTTGATTTAATTTAAACAATAACTTTTAAATTTAGAAAATATCACCGTTAATGAAAATTCATTTGATCCACCACTTGAGACTGGGGACAAGGATAATATTAATTCTCCAAGTGCATTATCAATGGAGGCAACCTTAATTAATCATTATTTTGCGTTACAAGTAGTTAATGAGGTAAGAATCGTTCCTATACATGGGGGTGAATTAGGTTAAAGCCATGACGAAAATATTACGGCACATTATACTAATTCGGTATTACACCGGTGTATTACTGGTGTAATACTTGAATCTTTGAACAAAATTTGGTGTAATAAATTTCACCAATACGCCACCTAAATGCCGAATTCTCGTTATGTTTTCTAATTTTTTTATGGAAAAATTTATTTTTAGGGTGAAAAATATGAACTTGATAAACCTAATCCATTTATAAGCTCTCAAGAGGATAATGATATGTTAGCACCAACTGCTTATCGGTATCGTAAATTTGACATAAGCATTAAAGAAGATGAGGACATTTCAATTGTCGTTCGTACACAACTAGATTCAGTTGTGAAAACTTCGGGTGGTGATTCTTCATTAATTACTATTAGAGCTTTGAATGAGTTTGACCCTAGATCTCAAGGAGCCGGTGGAGCTTTAGATTGGCGACAAAAATTGGATACTCAAAGAGGAGCAGTTGTCACGACTGAAATGAAAAATAATAGTTGCAAATTAGCACGTTGGGCAGTTCAAAGTATTTTAGCTGGGGCTGACCAAATGAAATTGGGGTAAATACTCTTAAAAAGTCACTTTATTAAGTTTAAAATTATTTTAACAAAATCTTTTATTTATAATAGATATATTTCTCGTGTTTCTCCAAAAGATAATACAAAACATGCTATTCTGGGTACTCAAATTTATAAACCACGTGACTTTGCCGCCCAAATGAATTTGTCAGTTTCAAATGGGTGGGGAATTGTTAGAACCGTCATTGACTTATGTATGAAATTACCAGAGGGTAAATACGTACTAATAAAAGATCCTAACAAGGTAAAGTTAAAATCTTTATTAGATTTCATTTGTATAGATCAAATCTAATTTTAGTTATTTATTTTTATAGCCGGTAATTCGTTTATATGCTGTTCCCGCTAATGCATTTGAAGCTGATGATGATTTAGCATTGGAAGATGGTGAAGAAATAAATGAGGAGGAAGAAGTTCAAAAATAAATAATACATATCTACAGTTTTATTATACAGTATTTAAAAAAAAAATTTAAAGTAAAAAAGGGTAGAGATGAGAAAAAAAGAATTTTTCTTTTTATACAGTATTTTGTATTTTGTATTGTTTAAAAAAAAAAATTACATTTAAATAAATATCTAATATATATGTACAATTTAATTTATACATCAACAACATCATCAGAATTCAACTGATGATATTTTATATATCTTTTGTCGTCCATCATTTCTTCATCGCTTTCTTCAAAATTTTTATAATCGTCATATTTAATAATAAGTGAATTATCTGATTTATGGTCACCACCGAATATGAAATAACATATTATACCACCGAGATATAATGAAAAAATTACTATATAAATTATTAAAGTAGTAAAATCCAACATAGTAGCATATATATATTATAATGTGTGAAACAGATATTTTTTTTTTTTTCTCACACTTTCCAAAAAAAAAAAAATGTGAAATTTTTAAAAAGAACAAGATTTTTTTTTTTTTAATTAGAATATAGATCGTAAATCAGAATTTCGATGATTTTTTTATTTGTATATATTTACGGATACTTAAAACCGATTTGTTCTTTGGAGAAAATAAATTATTCTCCTTTTAACAAGATCTATTATAATTATTATAAAAGCGATTTTTTTCTTTTTACTTTTGAAAATTTTCCCAAAAAGAAAGTAAAAATATATATAGGACAGTTTCATTTTATAAAAAAAAATATCTTACAAATGAATTTTTAATTCAATTTACTTTTTAGTAAAAGGAAAAAAGGTCTTGTAGAAACTTTTCACCCAATACTTATAAAACGTGTGAATATTTTAAGTTTTAATTGGTTCAAACGTAATTGTTTACATTTTCCCGAATTTTTAATTCAAACTAAATTAACTAAATTGTAATTTTTTTATTCCCCCTTAATGAGAACTGGTTTAGAAACACATCTTTATTATCTTTATTATAGTGGATCCTCTGCTCATTAATGAAACTTTTCGGATATTGAAGATTTATAAAGATGATCTATTAGAAATTTAAATCATTTCAAAAATGGATATTGACTTGATATGAAAATCAGATTTGTAACATCCCATTTTTTTTATTGCTTTAATATCAATTGTACGGAACAGGACATTTAACGGGTTAAAATCTGTGAAATCGATCTTTTTTATTCAAAAATTTCATGACGAAAAAATTGTAAACAGATGAAAATGAAATTAATCAAATTCGATATAAAATTTTTTTAAAGATTATAATATATACAAAATATTTGAACAAAAAAAAAACAAATTTGTAATAAAGAATACAAAAAAGAGTTGTATAATAAATAAATAAAAGGTTTTTTTATTTTTTATTTTTTTAAAAATTTTTTTTAAGCTAAACTATCTTTGTATTATATATATAAATATTTACTTTAAAATAACATTGTATTTTTTTTTTGTATTTATTTATTATATATTGTATACAGTATATTAAAATATTAATTTATATGTAATATTATATATATATATATATAATAATTACTTTTATTATTTATTATCTTTGAATATTCTGATTTCTGACCATCTTTTTTTTTGAAGGTTTTCAGTAAAAATTATGATATTATTTTTCATATTTGAAAAAAGTTGTAGTATTTGTAGTATTTTTTTTTTTAAAGATATTATAGTAGTAATCAAATTATTTTTTAAATAAAAATAGGATATAGTAGCTAAAGATCACATACCATTTAATTCTGGCCGAAAATTATAATTTTGGCCAGAGTTAAAAAACACATCATAATTTTTTTTCAAAATTTCAATTTATTAAATAATAAGATTTTTATTGCACTTATGTTATGTCATATCTATTTAATATATTACATATAAAAGTCAAAAATGACATTCTAATTCCTTTTTGATATATTAAGAAAACTTGTAGAGCAATCAAAAATACATATAATAGTATAATATTTCTTATAATATATAGTAAATTAGTGTTACAATCTGGATAATTAATGGATGGCCAATTTGTTCAAATATTTCCCATCTATTTTTGGAAAAAGATGCCTACATTTCCTAAATTATGTATTGGCTATTAGGGTTTACATTTAACATTATAGAAAGACTCAAAAAATGAATTATTCTATTGACTAAATGTTAAAAATGAAATATAATTTAAACAGATTGAATTTATTATTTATACAGATGAATACAGTCAACTCCCTATATAGTCACTCTCATTATAGTCACATGTCATACCAGTTGAATGTTCAAACTTCAAAACACTTTATTATTAAAATCTATCCTATATAGTCACAATTTATCTATAATCACTATCACACCTATCCTTAAAAATCTTATATTAAAAAAAACTATTTATAATCATAGTTATATAAAGAATATATTAAATAACTTAGCATCTAATAATCATACAAAGGTGTACCATATCTTGTTAAAATCGTCTCACTAAAACAAATCAAATAGTGGTAGTTTTATCTTTTTACTTTACTAAATGTTATGACCAGGCCTCTTTCTACCACTTATGAGATATCATCAGGCCAGTACCCTATCATTCCCAAAGGGTTAACCATTCAACCAAGTACTTAAAGTTCCTCAGGAAGACAGCACCTTATATGAGAATATCCCTCATCAGGCCATTTTTCAGGCTGATTTAAAGCTAGGAGTATGCCACCTACTCATCCTTTAACCCATTGCATGATACTGGCACTCAATTTATTTTACAACCTTAAGAGAGCACCTACTTTCATAGAGCACTTTTGACAGGTAATATCAACCATCTAATACCCTTCCATACTACCAGGATCCCGCTTACTTATAATAAAGATCACTGTAGAAAATTGCCCTTTACTAATAGTTTTTACCTTACTTTTTTCTTAAATTCTATTAGTTAATTAGCTAAAAAGAAAAAAAATCATAATAATGTAACATAAAATTTCTTTTTATAGTAGGATCTGCAAAGTATTTTATATATGATTTTTATCTTAGGCCTGGGGGTGACCTATCTTATAAGTAAACGAGATCCTATACCACCATTTTAAGTACGAAGTCTCACTCAAAGGCTACTACAACCTGCGATTACCTAGCACTAATAGTACAGTTGTGAACCCAAGTGGTATACTTTGTAGTGACCACTTAGACAGAAAGTAGCAGGCATCTGTTCAGGGTTACTCCAGTTTTATCCTTTTATGATTATTGACTGATAAATTATTCAATAAAATGCTAAACATCGGCATTATAATATTTCTTAATTTACATTTATTGCGCTATTTAATATTTTACTAAATTTCTTAGTATCTAGTACAGTCAACTCTCTTTATAGTCACACATTTGGGACAGTCCATATTTGGTGATTATAAAGAGATGTGACTATATAAAAAATTTCTTATATTTGTATATCATAATTCCGGCCAAAAATTAATATAATTTTAGTCAGAATTATACTTAAAACTTTATTGTATCGTAACTTCGCCAATATTAATCGTAGAGAGA